AGCCAGATGCCTGTCTAATCATTTCTTGAACATCTCCAAGGTAGGGGAAAGCACCACCTCCCTTGGAAGCCCATTCCATATTTTGGCAACCCTCACTGTAAAGAATTTCTTCCTTATGTCCAATCTAAATCTGTTCTCCTTCAGTTTGTGGCCATTTATTTTTGGTAACCCTGAGGGGTGCATTTGTAAACAGAGTGTCTCCTATTCCCTGCTGCCCCCCCCTGCCCCCCCGATGAGTTTGTAGGCAGCCACAAGATCACCCCTCAGCCTTCTCTTGCAGAGGCTGAAGAGATTCAGGTCCCTTAGTCTGTCTTCATAGGGACTTACCCGTAGGCCCTTAACCATGTGAGTGGCCCTCCTCTGAACCCTCTCAGGGTTATCCACATCCCTCCTGAAGTGCGGTGCCCAAAACTGGATGCAGTACTCCACCTGCAGCCTCACCAATGCCGCATAGAGGGGAATTATCACTTCCCTAGACCTGCTTGTGATGCACCTGCTGATGCAAGAAGGAGTGCAGTTACCCTTGCTTATTACCTCATCACACTGGCGACTCATGTTCATTTTTGTGCCAAACAGGACTCCAAGATCTCTTTCCACTGTTGTGGTGCTCAGAACGGTTCCTCCCCGCCCCGGTCTATACATGTGTTGGAGATTCTTTCTCCCCAGGTGCAGCACCTTGCATTTATCCTTGTTAAATTGCATCTTATTCTGATCCTCCCACCTTCCCAGTCTATCCAAATCTACCCAAATTCGCTCCCTGCCCTCCAGTGTGTTTACTATACCCCATAGTTTAGTGGCATCAGCGAATCTGGACAAGGTGCTTTCAACATCTTCATCCAAATCGCTGATGAAGATACTAAACAGTACTGGTCCCAGAACAGAGCCTTGGGGGACACCACTGCCCACATCCCTCCAGGGAGAAACCGACCCATCCACCACTACTCTCTGGGTGCGTCCCTTAAGCCAGTTTTTCAGCCACCGGACTGTGAGGAAATCCAAGTCACAGCTACTCAGTTTGCTCGTAAGAACTGGGCATGACACTGTGTCAAAAGCCTTTTTAAAATCCAGGTAAATAATGTCTACTTCCACTCCTGCATCTAAGCACTTTGTGACCTGGTCATAAAAACAGACCAGGTTAGTCAGGCAGGATTTGCCTGCTATAAACCCATGCTGGTTGCCCCTTACCATTTGCTAGTGATTAATTTAATCTATCAATGTGCCACCTGTTCACAAAGCTTTAGACTCTCCCATCAAGCTCAGGCAGCCTCCCTGGTGGCACTAACCTGAATAACTCCTGAGTCCTGTAGCCCACCCTCTCTGAAGTCATAACAACTGATTCAAAGAGAAAACTGTTTGTATTAAACATGGACTACACTTCACTGAACTGTGGGGATCAATATCAATATCAATGTTTCTGGATCGGGAAATCTCTGGACTCTGTTCCCAACATCTTCAACATTCCCCGTTAGAAACTGCCAAGCTTGAACATTCAATGGCTGTATTCTTTAACCTGAACTAGTCCTTTTTGTGTCATTTGGGGAGCACAGAGGCCAAACAGCAGGTAAGTCTTTCTAGCAGACGATTATTTTGGCCCAGAGTCAAGGAATGGGAACAGAAGTGGCATTAGACATCTTTGTGTTTTGAGGGGCATCAAAAGTATGCTTTGCCTTAGCAATTAGCAGCTGATAAACAGCCCGAGCCACCTGTCACAGCTTACAGCAGCCCACAGGATGCTCTAATCCAGTGGTTCCCAACCTTTTTAGACCGTGGACAAGAAGTGACTGTGGACCAGCAAACTGCAGACCAGCATACCACAGACTGGAAGTGGCCAGCATACTGCAGACCGGCAGTATATCTGATCAGACCCACATGGGGCATGACGTATGCCCATAGCACAGGGCCAGTCCAGAGGCCAGATCCAGCCCACAGACCAGCTCCTTCACTCTGCCCTCCCCTTTCCTCCAAGATGCCTGATCTAATGGCTGCTCCAGCCAGTCTGGGACCTGCGCTGCATGCAGCACAGATCCTGGAGCAGTCAGAATGGGTGCCACATGAGACACAGTCCACCCAGTATGTCAGCCACGCTGCATGAGGTGGCTGCTGGAGTTCTGGCTGCTCCGGCATCTGTACCGTGCACAGGGCAGGCTGTGGACCAGCTAGAGCAGCTGCCAGATCAGATATGTGGGGGAGGGGAAAGAAGTCTGTGGGCCAAATCCATCCTGTAGACCAGCCCCATGCCACTCATCTGGCTTACAGGGCTGGACCAGTTTGACACCCCTGCTCTAATCTCTGTTAGGGCTGAAACAGAGATCAAGCCACATACAGAAATCATTTAACTCAGTACTGAAGCGTAGCCACCTCTGGACCACAGTAGCTGTTGAAGACTCCATAATCTGTGTGTAATCATCGAGTAGGAAGTACCAAGATACTGTGTGCGCACACACACACACACACACACACACACACACACACACACACACACACACACACACACACACACACACACACACACAC